CGTATTAAAATGTATAAAAATAAAAAATTAAAAAATTACCTGCACATAATTTCACTAGACACAAAAGAACTTGGCTCGGGCGAAAGCCCAAAAGAACAGGTTCATAATTGAAATTCATGTTTGTTGCTATTGTTGTTGTCGTTGTCGTTGTTGTTGTTGTAGCTGCTGTTGTCAATATGTCAGACTGAGGTACTTGCTGCTAGTTGGCCTGGACGCAAGTTACCGTTGTGTGCAGTTGTTGCCGCCACGGCCGCCAAAGTCCAAGTCCAACTCGAATCGTACTAATGCCAGTGTGGGGGCCACTTAAAGATTCCGCGACGCTTCGGGGCGACGCGTTACGCATTTTTATGAGGTCATTTGCGTGTGAAGCGCACTAAATGCGGCCCACGCGGCAGCTGGAAAAATCGAATTCAATTCGTGGAAAACGCGCCAGGAAAAGCCACAGTGACTGTGCCACAGCCAAAGCCAAAGCCAAAGCCGAAATATTACTCATATTCGCGGCAACAACTGGCTAAACAAAATCTATTAAAATTATCACACGCCACGTTGACCTCAGAGGCGAGCAAACATTTTTCAAGTACCGTTCCAAATACTCTCGTACTCGTACTGTTTTATGTGTCGGCGTACCAAAAAATCCAAAAAAAAAACATAAAAGGAAAAAAATACCGAAAAGAAAAAAAAAGCCGCAGCCAATAAAATGAAAAATGCTTGGCAAAAATATTGCGGCAAAATAATTTGCCACGCTCGTAAATTTTCAGCTCATAAAAAGAAACGAACTACGTTGGTGGGTTTCGAGGGTGTGTGTGTGTGTGTGTTGTATGTGAGTCAGTGTTGAGCATTTCTCGAATTGAGTCAGATTTCGGCTTGGTTTTAGTAGGCTATATGCCTGGCCCTGATCAACACTCTACACTTTGATATATTGCCAGACCCGACTCGCTGGCAGACATCATTTGCATGTGAAAAGCCTGGAAAAAAGTTTCTCTAATTTGCCAAATGATTATTATGTGTGCCTAAACAACGTTAAGTGTTGTCATAAATTAGCTTGCAGACAATGTTGACGTTTGTCGCTGGGCTGTCTATAAAAAGTTGCTCATAAATTTCAGACAGCGACAATACTTTTTTGGAGCCAAGCATTAAAACTAATCAAAATAGCGAGATGGACGAAAAGAACGCACATTGATGCAAAAAAAAGTATTATAATACACTGAAGAAAACTAGGGAACACAATAAAAGTCAATAGTCAATTAAATCTGTGTATATTCGGAAAATACAAAATATGTATTCAAATGTACACTCATGCAAATTATATATATACACTCAAAAAAAATGTTTGCTGCTTTTCACAAATTCAGCACAAAATGACAAACATCCTGAATTTCAAGAAATTTATTCTGAAAATAATAATTTTTTCTAAATCTCTTAAACCTTTTTTATTTTTATTGTGAAAACTTTTTAAATGATCATTAGAACAATTCTTAGTGTGTAGCGACAGTTGTGCATAGGATTTGCTTATTAAAATCTAATCATGAACTTTCCAGAATGATTTGCAATTAATTTAATTACGAATTGACAGTTCCTTCAATTTGAAAAGTCGTATTGGATAAGCGCTAATCGACATGTAATCAATTGTCAAGAGTTTTCATATGATACTTCCCACTCAATTGTCAATAGCTTTGGAAAACTTGAATAGAATAAATTAATTTGCGCAAAGTCAGCGTGTCGACTTTAACGTCAGGCCGCAATGACTTAGGCAACGAACTTGCATGCCAGCAAGCGCATGCGCATTAAGAGCACACAACAATAAAATAAAATCAGAAAAAAAGGTGCATAAAAAATGCGACAAGAAATCTACAGAAAAACAAACATTTCGATGCAAAACAAACGAACGACGAAAATTAAATTGAAAACGAGCCACAAAAAACGATGCTCGCCATAAAAATAAGCCTAAGAAAACAGCCAGAGAATAAAGATAAGCGAAAAGTGGCAGCGAGAAGCGGCCCAAAGTGTTGCACAGCGATAAAAATTTAATCAAAATTTATGAAGAGGCAACGCACCAGAGCGGGCCGCCTGTTGGGCCATATAACACACAATTTACTAACACTAACTTTTCTCAATCTGTTTGCAGTCCCCGGAACTGGATTATCGGCACGAGCTGATGGGACGTCTGCACAAGATCGAGCCGGCCGATGTGGAACTGGAAGTGCTCGCTGCTGCTGCTGCTGCCTCCAACAACAACAACAACAACACGAATAGTAATAACAACAACAACAATAACAGCAACGGCAGCCAAACGCCGAACAGCAACAACTCGGCGGCATCTTCGCATCATCATCACCATCATCAGTTCCATCACCACCACCTGCACTCGCACCACCATTCGCATGCGCACCACCACCAACATCATCATCAGCATTTGCACCACAGTCTGCAGAGCGGCGAGAGTGGTGCCGCCTTGGATGCCTGGCAGCTGGCTGCCTCCAGCTATGCCAGCGACCAGCCCCAGCAGCAGCAGCTTCAGCAGCAGCAGCAACAACAACAACAACAACAACCCGCCGGCTCGCCCAATTCCAACTCAAATTCCGCCTATGGATGTGCGCCGCTCTACGACGAAGCGCCCTACGAAGTGGCACTGGGCTACGGAGCGGGCGGTGGCAACGGGGCGGGGGGCACGGCAACGGGCAGCGAGAAGGAGTATTTGTATGGTAAGTAGCTGGGCGAGTGGCAGGGGGTGGGGGGAAGCTGGGCACACAAAATTACACGCATGAGGAGAAATCTCGCAAGTCAATAGCAAAACGAGACGCGACAACTCGTGTTCGCCTTTTCGTAGTTTCGTGATTTTTTTTTCGTTGAATTTTTTTTTTTGATTCATAGTTGCGTTTGCAAGCCAAATGTGAAACTTGAGACCCTACAGAAGAGCCTAAGCCCCAAACAGAGAGAAGCTTAAAACTAAGACGAACTCAAAATGCGCTTCAGACGCAGATTGGGCAAACTTACGAATTGAAAACCAAGAATGAAACTGAAACTTTTTGACTTTTGGCGAGGTGAGAGAAAAAGTTAGTGTATACAAGTGAGAGTTTTGAACACGAAGAGCAGCAACTAGCGAAAAGTCTCGGCTTTATTTATAGTTAAAAATATCGAAACGGTTGTTTATAAATTTCATGCATATGCGAGATTTCTTTGTTTGCATTAATAATTCCCTGTCTATATATTGATTTGCATAAGGCATTAGCAGCTTGATTATAATGCGATTTTCTTTACCCACCCAACTCACACACACATAGAAACCAAAAACAAAGAGGCTCTCTTCGGCGACCCACTGGACGATCCGTATCAGCGACCAGCTCTCTGGGATGATATTGCCACCTCAATACAGAACATCGATCCGGAGAATGCGCTCATGCTGAGCGCCAGCACAGTGGCCAATGGCAGCGACAATGCAGCAGCGAATCAGGCGACACAGCAGCAACAGTTGTTGCCACAGGTCAAAATGGAAGCAATAGATGAAACACTGCTCGAAACTTTCTCGACACCAATGCTCAGTCCCATGGAGATTAAAACTGAAAAGCAGCAGCGACAACAACAGCAGCAGCAGCAGCAACAACAACAACAGCAGCAGCAGCAACAGCAGCAGCAGCAGCAATACCATCAGCAGCAACAACAGCAGCAGCAGCAACACTATCAGCAACATTATCAGCAACAGCAGCAACACTTGTACCAGCATCATCCTAGCCTCTCGCTGTCCGGGTTGCCACCCGCTGCTGAAGTTGTCGAGCTGCAGCTACAGCAGCAGCAGCAGCAGCAGCAACATCAGCAGCATCTCCACAGCGGCAGCAACAGTCCCAAGCAGGCAGCCGGCGACAACAACAACTCTGCCTCCTATCAGCAACAATACGCATCTCAGCTGAACAGCGCATCAGGCGCTGGATATCTAAACAGTAGCAGCAACAACAACAGCAACAGCAACAACAACAACAGTGCATCTGGGGGCACCACCAGCAGCGTCGTCACCAGCAGCACCGGCAGCATCAGCAACAGCAGCAGCTATGGCTACAGCTGGCACCACAGCAGTCAGGTGAGAATCTCCGCAATTGTTGTTGCTTGAAGACTTTCTATTTTTGATTCCCTTTACGGCGACTCTCTTGCTGCTCTAGAGCTTTCACACCAAATACCAAATACACCCGCCATCAGCAGTTGCCACAGCGACACCAACCACTGCCACGCCCACAGCTCAACACGTGCTGCAGCAGCAGCAGCAGCAGCAGCATCAGCAACAACAACAGCAGCTGCAGCTATGCCCGCCAGCCGCGCCCAGCACACCGTCCGCCACATCCGCCTCCTCCTCGGGCAGCGCCTCCTCGACGGGCTCCAACTCGACGCGTCACATGTTCGTGCCACCGCTGACACCGCCCAGCTCAGATCCCGGCAGTCCCGGCGCCTCCATGGTGGCTGCAGCCGCTGCCGTTGCCCAGGCACAGCGGCGCAGCACGCCGCCGCCGCCCTACCATGGCCTGGCTGGCCTCTGTCCCAGCCTGGTTAATCCGCCGCCCACGTTGCAGCTGCTGGGCGCCGGCACGCCCACCACGCTGACGACCCTCACGCCCGCCAATACAGCCAGCGCAATTGGAGCAGTCCAGCAGCAGCCGGCACCTCCGCCACCGCCGCCGCCGCCGAGCAGCGGGCGACGCGGCCGCCATGCGCACCATCAGCCCGGAACGCCGGCGCACATCGCCAGCCTGATGAGCGTGCGCACCGTGCGCTACAATCGGCGCAACAATCCGGAGCTGGAGAAGCGTCGCATCCATCACTGTGATTTTGTGGGTGAGTGCAATCCGCAGATTCATCTGCCGCCTGCTGTTTTTTAGGTGCTTCTTCTTTCTGCTTGGGATGCGTTGCATGTGCGACTCGTTTATCATTTCGCGCGCTTTGCGACACTTTTTGTAATAGAGACCAGCTCCCCCTCGACCCTCAACCCTCCCCCTTAGTCATAGCCCCTTACATACCTGTTACATATTCAGCTATTTGACTGGGATCTTGGCCACGGGCTCATTGCGCATGCGTGAGGCGTACTTCCAATCGCCATTTATTTATTCTCCATTTATCTAAACATTTATTTATTTATTATCTTTCCGTCTGTCGCCCGCTGTGCCTATTGACAGTTGTTGTGGCGCTTTTTCAAATGCCTCTTTTGTAATTCCAATTAGCCAGTGCCATATTTATGTAAGAGTCTCCCTCTCTTTCCCTCTACCCCTCTCTTTTATCACTGAGATACGTTCGACATAGTTCCAATGTCAACCCGAGGACCTTGCGTAGAGCAGTTAACTGAAAGACAAAGATTAGCTATGAATAGGGATCATTCAAAATTGAGGAGCATTTAGAATCATATTGACATTGTATGCCAATTGAAGATCAGTTGCTTATAAAGAAAACTATTATTTATTGCTATTTAGTTTAGTCTAATAAGTAAATAAAAAGTTGAAGATCAATTGAAGATCGGAAAGAGGAAATGTAGATATTGAGAATAGTTTGAGAGGGAGTTAGGGATAATCAAAGAGCAGAGTACCGATCGAAGACCGGGTAACAATAGAGAATAGTTTCAGACTAGAATCGATAACTACGAGACACAGCTGATGATCAACACAGAATCAAAAGGAACAATATCAGTTGAAGATCATTAAAATCAAAGTAAGGATGCACCACAATTAAATATAAACTAAAAATATAAGAGATTTCTCTTAGAAGAGTTAAATATAATATCCAAATTAGCAAAAGCGGATCACAAGATTTGAAGATCAATTAAAGATCATGCAAGGAATGTTCATCAACTGAAGATCAGCTATAATATATAATATTGTCTGCGCCAGATAGAAAAGGAATAAATAGGTAGTTGAATGGAACAACTAATATTTGAGGAACAATAATAATAATTGAAGATCAGCCAAAAATATATAATATATAATCTTGCCTGCGCCATACGATGGGGGCATGGCGATAGAGTTGAATGGAACATTTAATATTTGAAGATCAATTAAAGATCATGCAAAGACTGTTGTTTATCAATTGAAGATCAGCCGAATAATACACAGCACTGAATCCAGCGCTCAATCAAATGTTGAATCGAATCGAAAAACCTTATACACAATTCGGCGTTCAGTCCATTAGCTGCTAACGGGGCGATCATTGAGAGGGAAGCGAAAAGCACTTAACCCCAACTAAATGCGACGTTGTCTAGCCAACTGATGGTCCGTCGTTGGAGTCGTTGGCGTCGTTGGCTACGTGCGTTGCCACTAATAAATAATTGACAATTGTCTGACACGTTTGCCGTGGCCATTTTTAGACAAAAAGCGCGTTCGAGCACAAATATTACGAGTCCGATTGCGCTTGGCCAAACTCTCGAGCGCGCAGGCGCACAAAAATGCTGTCCAAATGAAGTTATTATGCCATAAACGCACGCATCAGACTCTCCGACACAGCTCTGTGGGCCAAGTCTACACGTTTCACGTCCACATTGCAGCTCTATGGACTCTATGCCACTTGCAACTTGCAACTCGAGATTGCAACTGCCACGCAAGTGAGTTATGTCTCAGAAGTTCGCGAGAGTTAGCGCGGGGCATGTGATCGGCAATCCTCGTAACTCTGCAGTCGCAGCCAATCACGCGTCTAACTGTCATCATTGTTGTTGTTTCTGTTGCTGCTGTTGTTGTTGCTGCTGTTGTCTGGCGTCGACGCAACATTCTTGACTCGCTTTTTAGCTATCAATTCGCTTTGGCCATGTTTGTCTACGGTGGCTTACTTGTGCCTTGCTGGTGGTTCGAGTATTTTTAGCTGAGTTTTGGCATTGTCTTTTTCTATATGCGCGTCACGTTGTACTCAGCTTTCAATTAGAGCGGACGTGCTGGGATCTCTAAGCATCCTTTTAAGTGCCACATAAATGTCTCATGCTGTGCACAAGTGAATCTTGTGCAACTTTCACCAGCTCCAGCTCCAGCTCCAGCTTCAGCTTCAACTACAGCTGCACGGGCTTAATTAAAGGCTCGATTGTAGCGACGCCCACTGACCCACTGCAGAGGCACAGCCTCAGCCACTGCCACAGCCAGCTGCACTTTGCAATGTGCCTCTTTTCTCATAGTCAGCTTATCAAGATTTTCGTCTGTGCTGCCACAGTGCGGGCTCTGCACTGTGCTCTCAGATAAATTGCCCATTCAATTTGGCACTCTGACAACGAGATTCGACTTGGTATCACATATGAAGCGCTTAAAATTGTTAACGACTTTTAAGGCCGTAGTAAATTTAACGGCTAAGATCAGTGTTCAAGCCATACACGAGTTGCTTGTTGAAGGTTTAATTTAAACAGCAATTCAAGTTATGGCTTAGGTTAACTAGCAGCTACAGTTAAGGCTTAGTTTCTCAATATGCAGACCAATGGATATTCCAAATAACTTAATGTTGGTTAGAATAATAATTGTATTTATATTAAAAAATATATTTTTTGAGTAAATCTTCGTATGGTATCTTGTATATAATTATAATAAGGGATAGATTTTTCTTTAAATTATAATATAATTTATTTTTACTGCACCAGTTCATGATTTTTGAAAGAGAATCATTCAAGAATTTAATTTATAATAGAATAATATTGAATATTTTATCCCCTAATCTTTTTAGTCCAGTGCATTCATTCCCTTTTGGCACCTCTCAGTTCTTAGCTAAACATTCGCTGCCTTCCTTTCTTCTGCTTGGATAACTTACTGAGCCCACTTTATTTCTTTTCCATTTGCAGGTTGTTCCAAGGTCTATACGAAGAGCTCGCATTTGAAGGCGCATCAAAGGATACACACGGGTAAGTCGTTAATGTTATTGATAGTCAGAGGCTGCAGCACAGATCCACCCACCACCCAGGCAACAAGCACTTGGTATTAGTTATAAGGCGCCGCTAGGCTTGTCCGCTGTCACACACATTTGTTGCCGGCCCGATCCTGCCCCGCATCCGATGTAGGCGTAGTAGGTTTGGCTTATTACCACATCAGCACCACCAGCAGCAGCAGCTCCGCCATGGCTGACGATGAGCTGGTGGTGCACAGCTGCGCTGCTTTATTTTGTAGCGTTGAGCAACTGAACGTACGGCGGAAAAAAAGGCTTTTGATTAATTCGCGCGCTCATATTTGTAGTTGCCAGCACATAATTTGCCAAGAGCTCGGAGCGCCTTTTGGCTGATTTTTTTATTTAGGTTTTTTGTTTTTCAATTTCGGCACAGCACATAGCGAAGCAAAACCACAGAAATCGTGATTTCTACGTTTTGTTTTTGTTTTTGTTGCTGTTTTTGTTGTGCGGCTTTTTGTGGTCAGTTGCAACATCAACAACATCAACAATCGCCAATCGCCAACGCCATCAGCTGGGCGCACGTTTGGCCTGCATTTCCTTCTTGCTCAGATTACACTTGACGTTATTTTTTGGTTTGTCCGCCAGTCGGTCGGGCTTTACCACTTTTTTTTTTTGGTTTTTTGGGCTTTTTTGGTGGGTCGTTGGATGTTGATCACCTGTCTTCGTTTTATGGGCCACACGTTTTATGCCCCTCTGATTCGCGACTCACAGCAACTGGCGACTTGCGACTTTCAACTCTCGACTCTCGACCCAGCCCCAAAAGCAGCGAGACTCAATCCCGAGCGCAGTTCTCCTTCGGTGTTTTATTAATCGCACATGACCAGCTGATTTATGCGCAAACTTAAAACGCTGCACTTAAAAAACATTTTTATTATTATGATTTTGCGCTGTGCTGATTTTCACTTAACTGATAAACTTGACGCTTCGCTAAGAAAAAAACGACACATTTGATAACATTGCCCCGACGACAAGTGCTCGAGCCAAGGTGACGCTATAAATGCCCTGTAAAAGGTCTTTCTACGATTTTATACAGTTGAAAATATTCAAAGTTCCATTTAGATATCAGGAATATCTGTTGCTGAAGCCTTGCCTAAGATGTATACATATATATGAGTAATATACGAATTGAACCTCCCGTTTGTTAATCCGACACTCAAACATTCGTAAGGCTATTGATTTTATACAACCTTTGTTCTCAGTTTTCCCCCATTTATTATCTACATGACCTGAATCTAGCAAGTTCCTTCTACACTCTCCTTACTACCCGCTGACCCGTTTAGTAGAAATCGAAAATAAAAACAACTCAAGACCCTTAGCTAAGAATATTTTACAATATATCAAGCAGAAAGTGTTCTCTCATCCGATCAATTAATCATATTCCGATATATGTATTGTAGCTAACAACTTCCATTCTCATGCTTTCTCGCTCACTCTCTCAAAGACTTTCTCCTATCTGTTAACCCTTTAGCTGCACTTGCTACAGGCCAGTCAATGTAAACTTAAGCTCTGGTTAGCTGATTTAATTGCCTTACACCCGCCGTGGGCCAACACGATTGCCAAGCAAATCTATGGCCACGTCTCTGTGGATTTGGCTCAAATCTTTGGCCAGCAATTTTGCAGTAGTTTTCGAGTGGCAGCAGCCATTTGTGGCTACCGTCTGATGCCTGTCCTGTTTGTTTGGCTTTTGACTTAGTTAACGTCGTCGTCACACGCCCAGCCTGGGAGGCAGCAAAACCACATACACACACATACATACACACACATCTTTCATGCAATTTTGAAGCTGCGGCATCTCGTGGCGCCAGACACCAGCTGAGTGTTGTCTTTGCTGATTAGCGGCGCTGCAGCTCAAGTGCCGGGCCGGACACATGCGACAGCATTTAGTTAACATGCACACAAAAAAATGTCAATCGCCATTAAATGAAAAAATTCCTATTATCTGCAAATGTAGATTTGTTAAACATTTTCTAATAAATATAATTATTTTTTCCAATACTGATTCTGATTTTCGGAAAATATTTTCTGTTCCTTAGATCAAAGATTCCAACATTTTTTTAAAATGTATCTAAATTTTCAAAGCATTTTTGCATTTTTAAAAAAAATAAACTTCTATTTTTTTTCTACGTTTTTTGGATTTTTGAATTGGTTGTTGAAATTCTTTTAGGACGAATCGCCCTAGGCCCATTCTCATAGGCGAATTATAGAATTTACGACGTTTCGTTAAGTGAACATATTCGCTGACGCTTCGTAAAGCTCTAGCCAGGCAAGTTCGTTGCCTAAGTCTTTTGTTTTTTCTTGCTGCGTTCGCTGCTCGTAAATTTGTGGTTTTTATTTGGGCTTTTTGTATTTATCTGGACGCAGCGATTAGAAAATCACTCGGTAACTAATCTTTATGCAGCAAGCGAACGCATAAATTAAACATATCGCTACCCCAGTCCCTAGGTGTCTGCACTGGAACTGGAGCTGGAGCTGAAGCTGGAAGACAGGCATTTGGAACGCAGTTTGCCCACCGGCTGGGCTTATTTTGTACTGATTTGTTTGCTAATATGTTCGCGTTGCCATAAATTAGTTTGATTTTTATGCCCGACGACTGGAGGAGGTCTCCGGCCTGGCGTGGCGTAGCCTGGCCTGGACTGTGTGGCCTGCGGCTAGACTTGTCTTCTAGCTTGTTTTGGGGGCAGCCGTTGCCTTAATTTATATACGAGTCCGAGTGTGTCTGCATATTGTTAGTTGCATGTTGCGCTTATCGCGGCATACTACGTTAAAATTATGAAGTAATTTCGTCGGCCTTATCGCATTGCGTTCATCGCACATTACAAAACAACATTTACATAACTTTGTTTGTTGTTTACCCGGGCTCGGATCGGATCGGAGAGGGCCGGGCTGGCCCCGGTCCAACCCCCGACTGCGGGTTCGATGCTGATCTTTGTTTTAGTTACGAGCGATTTCAATTTTGCCATTGCCAAATGATATTCCCACGAGTGCGCTGTGGTTGTTGTTGTAGTTTCTGTTGCCGTTGTTGTTGTTGGTATTGTTTTTGTTTACGAGATTCTGTTTGGGCAGTTTCTGTACCATGACTCACCATCGGCAACAGCGGGCTACAATGCCCAGCCATTTATCAATGTTTTTTTTTTTGGCCCCAAACAAAGCTTCTTACACACTCACACACACGCGGCACGCATGTGTGCGTGCAAGTGTCGATAGGTAAATTTTTTTTTGATTATGTTCAGTCATCTCGAGGCACTTAAATTCATTAAAAGAGATCTAAATAAACCAATAAGTCACGCCACGAGTCGCTCGTATTGGGTTTCTATTCGTAAATCCTACAAAAGTGTCAGCTGAGTGCCACTTCAGACCTCAACTTGAGCCAAACAACTCTCTCCCCTTCCTCCTCTCCAGCTTGAAGAGGTATTTCAAACTAAAAATCCGCTGTAAAAGACAACGGCAATAATTATCATGCCTATTGCTGCTTAAAATAATGCTGTGAAAAGGGTTTTGGGGCTTAGATGAGCTTAGAAGTGCGAGTTATTTGAGCAAAGTGTGAAGATCTCGAAATATTTTTGGCAAGGTTACATTTATAGAGAATTTACTTTAAAAAATTGTCTATAAGACTTAATAAAAAATTATAGAATTGTCTATAAGACAGCATACAAAAATAGTTGATATTCTTCTTCTCAAAGAATTGCGAAAGAGTGCAAAAAATGAATTATTTCCACAATCCACAGCCAATTGGATTATGCGAACAATACAAATCCAATTGGGAAACCTATTCGATACACTACACAAAAGTCAAGTCAGTCGCTGGCGAAGACAATACCTGAATAATGCCATAAAATGTCAAGTTCACCAAATTTAAAGCACCGCAATAATTATTTCATTCAATTTCAATTTGAACACGAATGTTTATGTTTATGTTTATGTTTATGCTCTGGCATACGAGCTCTAATGCTCGAAGCACGCTGTTAGCCAAGGCGACCCAAACAGCAACAGCAACAACAACAACGCAGCCGGCAGTCGACCCGGTTCCAGCTGGAGGGAATTAGTCATAGAGCAGCGGGCAAAACTTTTGGGCACCGGCCGGTCGCATTTTTGTTGCTACCTCGACATGAGCTGAGCAAAAGTCACTTGCAAATGTCGTCGTGTTGTCTCTTGTTATTGCAGCAGTTGTTGCTGCTGCTGCTGCTGCTGCTGATGTTGTTGTTGTTGCTGCTGCTGGTAATGGGCCATCGTCAGCGGCAAGTCGTGTGCCACAGCAAGCAAAATCCAAATCATAAAATACGCGACTGAGAGTGACTCGAACTGCGAATTGACTTACCATTTGCTCCAGCTGCCGTTTTGCTGTCGTCGTCGTGTTGTTGTTCTCCTAACATGAAAATTCAATGAAAATGTTAATTTGTGAATACATGCGGCAGCCATATAGTTGTACATACTTGGAAGACAAGAAGCTCTTTGATGACATGCACTTCAGCCAAATAATAAATATGAATTTGTCTTAACAAATTTTTCAATAACTTTTCATTTGTCAAATCCAACTCATGGCATGCCTTTGTTTTTGCTCTTATTTCTGATTCCAGGTGAAAAGCCCTACACCTGCCAGTGGCCGGAATGCGAATGGCGCTTCGCTCGCTCCGATGAACTGACGCGACATTACCGCAAACACACCGGCGCCAAGCCCTTTAAGTGCATCGTCTGCGAGCGAAGCTTTGCGAGAAGCGATCACCTGGCACTCCACATGAAGCGCCACTTGCCGAAGAATAAGTGAGGCCGTCGTGTCGGGCGGAGCGGCTACCAATCAACTATATCACAATCCAAAGGACTTTAGTTAAGCTAAAAAGATACAAAAATTCGTTTAGTAAATGGTTACTATTAAATATTAATATTAAACCTGATTACTAATTAGTTAAATACAACAAAATCACATAAACAAGAGCTTTTCACAATCGAAATTCAGAGAGCGGACAGTCGGAAGCAGATCTTAAAGCTGAAAGGATCTGCTCTCTCTTTCTGTCTGTCTCTCTCTCAACTCAAGCGTTAAATTAAGTAAATGAAATTTCCACCTGCTTAACTACATATTAATGCAAATCTTAAACTAAGCACACTCCTAACTAATCATAACTCTCGTTTAGCTTACACATTTACAACAATATTTAGTTCGTACTATTTCCAGAGAAATCTCTCGTTTCTCTCAACACTCTCACAGTTGCGAGCGCATGCTGAGAGACCCGTGTATTAAAGTGCATATAGTACATATATATCTATATATAGATACATATATATACATATATTCATATAGATCCTTGTATACTTAAACTAAATCAATGCCAAGTTGTATCGCCACGTGTCATTGTCGCCTAGTTTCTGTATAGTTTCCCTTAGCCATAATATTATGTTAGTCTGTAATTCGATGCGTACGACTATATATGTACATATATCTGTCCTGTATGTATATGCTAGCTAGTGTATTATGTATATGTAAACTTATCGTGTCTCTATATCGTTTCTAAACACCAAAAAGTGCTGGCACAAAATCATCAAATAATAAAATGTTTTTGAAAAACCACAGTTCCGTTTATTCAAAAAAAAAAAAAGCATCCATTCAGAGAATGGGTTTGATGTCCTCTGGCATGGCAAAGCGATTGGTCCAGTCGCGGACTATGCTGTCGTGCTCAGCGCGATGCTCCATATACAGCTTAGCTATTGCCGGATTCAGCGGATCCTGTAGATTGGGTGACACAAATAGCGTGAGCACCGACACCAGCAGCTTGCCCACGGTTAGGACCGGAGACCATTTCTCCACGCAGATCTGATCGGCATGCACGTTGCAGTGATAGATTTTGGTTAGGAACCTTAGGTTCGGCGGAGTAAACGGATAGTCACGCGGAAAGGTGACGTGCATGTGAAAGAGCCCGCCCTCATAGGGTGTGCCCTGGGGCCCTTCAAGCGCGGCAATCCACTCGAATAAGTTGCTGTTCAACATATCCACTTTGCAACCCGCCAATGGATTACGCTTGATCTCTGCTAGCTCACGACCCAAACGGCGTTCGGTCATCCCGCTGCGCAGCAGCTTGCCATAGATGCGACGACGCCGTGCCTGGGCTTCAGGCTCTTCGGACTCTGGTGCCCCATCAAAAGTTGCTGTCAAATCCGGCGGTGGCTGGCGTCTGCGCAGGCGCTCGCTACGTCGGACTGGAAACATCTTATATTGACTACCAAATAACAAACAAATCACCTTGCATAAACAAAAAATAAATAAATAAATTTAAGTATAATCAGCTAACAAATACCTTGACACAGCTTTTGAACGCGTGCGTCTCCTTTAAAAGTTCCTGATTAAATAAAATACGGCTGTGAGACTCAACCCATGACAGCCGTCAAATTCAAGGGTTGCCTTTATTGCAAAAAACAAAAGCATCTTTCTTTGGCTTGCGAGTTTCCATTAATAAAAGAGTATTTGATGTCGAGACATAAAGCTTACACCTTGATCTTTAAAACGACCATATTAAAGTTTACTGTTATCGATAGTATTACTATCGTCAGCACTTCCGCCGATAGTTTTTTGGTGCTGTTAAACAGTCTACAGCGTATTCATGCGTTTTCGATTGAGTGTGGAAGCATTCACGTTAAGTGGAAACGAGCAACAAAATAACGAAATATGAATATATCAAAGTCTGAAGAGGCACAAAGCAAAATCATGATATATAATTGTTGCGATTTTATGATCTTATATATATATATATGTATTTATATAAAAGATTTTTCATTTGGATAACTCTTGTTCTGTTATTTTTTTGTATTTTTATTTATACACATTTTATCAGTTTATTCTCCAAGTAATCATTAGAGAGGAGATTCAAATATTTTACAATTTTTACTATATTAATATAATAATATAAAAACTCGGCAGCATAGCAATCGGATTCCTGAAACCGATTTAGATTTTATTTAAATTTCTTTAAAGAAAATCTAAATTAGTTTGAGGATCAATAATGTAAGCTGTCAGATAAATGCCAAGGCTAGATTCCCGTGGAATTTGACCCTTTGTACCCAAATTGCTAAAGTCGATTCAATCAGCAATTCATTGCCAGTGTTGGACACGTGCAATGGAATTCCTGCAATCATATGCACTTCATATACGATTATTAACATTTCCCAAATACGTGCCTGGCAAGGCAAATGTTCACTTTTGAAAATTTCTCTGGCAATTGTCAATAGATTTCCACAATTTGGCAGCAGTTTTCGTTGGTGGGAGGGGGACGGTAGTCTTTAAGAAAACTCCACACGTCAGTTAACGGTTAGGTTATTAAATAATAAAAAAATACATGCGCATATGACTTTGTTGGAGAGACCCACAAAATTTATGAACCACAAATAACTAAGAGACAATAATTTCATTTAGATGAGCATGCAAAGCCGATAAGTGTGACCCCATGTCGTAGACCCAAAGACTCAATTGAGTTTTGTTGTTATTCCTGCAACGATCATTATCAAAATATTTTGTACACGAAACAAACATGTCAAGCAAATGCGAGACGTTTGCTGTTGTTGTTGTTGTTGTTGCTGCTGCTGCTTGAAAATTGTTCAGAAATAAAAATAATAATTTCAATTGTTGACTGCATTTGATTTTTTCTATTTATTTTCTTCGCTTGTTTTCGACGCGTCATGTTGTTTTGATTGCGGCGATAAAATTGTTGTCGTTGTGCGCCCATTTGAAATTATAAATCGTTTGATTTTTATGAGGCTCATTTATTTATGAGCTTGGCGTACGGAGAACTCGGAGGAAACACTAAAAGAAAACCAGTTCATTTGTCAAGTCTTAGACACGTGTTGGGCAACTCATTTAGCTGCGTTGAATTTAAACTTGGCCTGCGACTAAACGCGTGCTTCTCGAGATGGTCCAGTACGTACAGCCATATAGATCGTGCTTTGAGGAAAAGCCCTTGGATTCCGCTCGCCAGACAGACGGAGCTTGCCCACTCAACGCTTGCCACATGACTTTGCCTGGCATCCATCAACAAAACTCTCTTCAGTTTAAGCTCCCTACGTGGGCGTTGAGTACAGACCATCTCTTTCTCTGTCGCTCTCTCTCTCTCAGTGTCTGTGTATATCTATCCCTTTCAAAAGTATCTTCAATTGTTGTGCGCTGCGCTGATTAATCATGTTACCACTGACAGCTCAACTTTGCGGGCAAGCTGCTTATTAAATTGGCTTAAGATTGCTAGATAAACGTAATAAAAAACGCACAGCAACAGCCAGAGCCAGAGCTACAGCCAGAGACAGAGATACAGATACAGATACATCAACAGACACATGCAGAGTACGTGTAGGTATGAGGACCCCACAAATTGATAAATGCACAAATCGCAGTCGCAGTCGCTGTCGCTGTCGCCGTCAAAGGTTTTCTCAGTGCACCCACTTGAAAGTCGAGTCGGAACAAAAGCGAATTTCATATGAAATTGATGCGATTTCAGTCAGATCGCGTGTGCCTGCCCCCCCGGACTGATATCGCTTATTATTATTTTCAATTAATTTGTGCGCCTTTTGTTCTGCTTATTTAAGAGGCGAATCATTAAAAAACACAAAGCCAAATTGTGCATACAAATACTTGCATTTAATTCAATCCCCATGTGGGTGTAGCATTATGCGAATCTGGTAAATATGTCAGTGGAACGCTTTACATATACTACACGTTTATATAGGAAGACAATTAATGCGGATACGTACTCTAATTTATCTAGACTTCAGTCAATTACCATTTCTTTGTTGTTTTTCAATTTATTATTGAAACAATCAAAAATTATAAAAAAAACTATCACTGATGGATTTGAACCGGTGTCTATTTGCTTGTAAGTCCGACTCACATTGATTGAAATTGTATAGAAAGTCTAACATGAAAATATTTCTTATCTGATATTCTACAAAGCTCATCTTGAACTTTTAAAGAAGACTGGTGGTTTTGATTGACTTTATCTATATCTTGTTATTTTCATATATCTGTTATTTCACATTTAACATAGTTATAGGGTGCCTCTTGCTGTGCGACTCGGTATCTTTTAGCTGAACAGTATTGTTGTTCTCGGACATACCCTATCTACATAATTCATATATGAATGAATTCGTTCCCCTTGCCTGAATGACTTCATTAAAACTCGTTGCCCGTTTCAAATCCGTTTCGAATTGCGCTTCGGTTATTGGAATATGCGAGTCGAATGAGCGTATTGCTGGGTGACAGCTCCAATGCAAATATAGAACAATATAATGTTGAATAAAGCTTCTAGAAATTCTTCTGATTCGGTCTTTGAGTTGGGAATTTCACTCTTTGGCCAACTTCTTAAGCTTCCGCAACAACTTTTACTTTCAGGCGGGCAGGCAGGGGGGCAGGCCGGCAGGCCGCGTCCAGCTGTGGCACAAGAGACACCCACAACAAGCACTCGCGTGGTTAACCCACACACACATGCCACAAACGAGCGGGTTCATCCATTTTAAGCCAGCTGAAACTTACAAAAGCGCCCATTAGCAAATGGGGGGACGCACTCGTGTCGTGTTTCGGTCGTGTCGTATCGTGTGTTGTTGTCTCGTGTCCGTCTGTGTGTGTGTGTGTGTTGCCTGTCAGACTGACAGAGGGGCGCAGCCGCAGGCACTACAACCGAAACCCAAAAACCGTAAACAGGAACTCCTCTCGCCAAAATGCTAACTGGCCCATGGTTGCCAGACGGGCGACAGACAAGACGCAGCGCGGCGCGGGGCGGGGCAAGGCGACGCGTGTTGCAGCAACTACTTTGCATACACGTTGCACATAAACAACGCTGACTAAAAACGGCGACAACTATAATTAAGCTTAATTGCTGTTTAATGTGAGCCACACAGACAGAGCCAGAGTCAGAGTCAGAGTCTGACTTGGACTCGGCTCGGAGCCGGAGTCGGATGCGGAATTGGAGTTGGAGCTGGAGTTGGCAACCAGGACCGATAGTTTTTAGCATTTGTCAAGCGCCCACGCATTGACAGTGACTGCTAACCATATCACCACACACACATACAGAGGCAAATAAATAAATGCATTTAAGCTTTAATTTAATTATATCTGTAATATGAAAAATGTGCATACAATAAATGGGAGTAAAACCAGGTGTTTGTATAATTGAAAAAGTTGCCTATCTGTTGGCATTATTGTTTTTGGTGTGTGTCGGGCAAATTAATTAGCAATTAAAAATGCGGCCCCGGCAATGGCAATACGTAGCTCTAATCTGTTGTAGAAACACTCGTAATTCATATTTATAAATAGGCAAACATTATTCAAGGTGTCCGCGCTGACTCGAGAACCGTAAATTAAATCAAAATCAAAATGAAAACGATATGGTTAGAATTTATAACGAAAAAAGGTAAAGAATAAATAAATAAGAAAAAAAAGTAAGGAAAAGCGAAATACACAAAAGCCGAAGTTTAAATGCACTTGCGCTGAGTACAGTGAGTCAGAGAATTGTTTTGACGAAGCAAAAATTCATATATTGCAGATAATATGCAAATTTAACTACATTTGTAATAAGGCTTACTTTTTTATATATTATATATCGGATTATTATCTTTCTTTGAAGTTATTAAAAAATAATAAAAAAATAATTTGATAAAAGAAAAAATACTCTTCACGAGATAAAGATTATGTATGTAGATTGGAACTACAGTGAAGGGCACTATCTGCCTTAGTCAAGGGACTCCTGGTAAGGGTATGAGAGCAACAAAAAAACCCATTTGATCCGTGGCCGCCCACAAATTGAACGTCGTACCGTGCTCAGGCCCCGACAGACAACAGCCCCGGCAATTGGAGGTTGGGGTTGCTGCAACTTGCAACTCGGCAGTTGGTGGCCGGCGTGTGACTCAAACCCAGCTGCAGACTGAAGTTGATCGACCGATCGGTCGATTGGCGACCCAGTGGCGACGACTGCCGCTGCATTTGGCAATGAACTTTTCGATATCGAAATATGCATGGGCTAAACAAAAACGCAGATACAGATAAATAAATCGAGCGTGGCGCTGCCAATTTGACTTTGAACTCGGTCAAGTCGAGACACATTTGAAGCTGTTTGCATATTTAATTGAACACCTACAACAACTGCTTGCTTTGTTGCTTTTTGCTGCTTGCAACAACAAGAGCGACAACAAATGGTCTGCAGCTGTGTTGGCATAATAATAAGCATTATAATCAGGCGCAAAAGGCTCAATAGGCCAATTGGCTGCCGGCCAGCTAAGTGTACAGTTACTTTGTCAAAGCGTTAAGTCGTGCCTGACAAAATAATGACCATTTGTGCATAAACTTATGGCCTTTCAGCCAAATCTCATTAAAACCAATGCCTCAAGACAAAAAGCACAACAAAAGGCTCAGCTGGAAGACAGCCCAAACGGAACAAACCAAGAATAATTTCGAATATTAAAATAAATCTTAGTCATAACTCACTCAAAATAAAGTTCTAATTTTAAGTTTTCTGTGCATACATAAATTAATAATAATATGCATTTAACTTGAAAAATTTTAGAGCGTTTTAAAATACCTACGGCCAAGCACAAATCCATTAATGTAATAGAAAATTCTGGCGAGCTAGTGAGTAGCCCCTTTCGAAAAGTTAAAGCTCTGACTGCTAAATTTCTTTTGAATATACGCTTTTATTATAATCTCTGTCAATAATATTATTGAGCTAACGATAAGTTTCGACCAGTGTTGATAGAAATCGCTAAGCTATAAGTCGATGTCTCAATTTATCGGAGTTTTCGACATCGATGCATCGAGCTCTCCTACAAAATTGCAAGCAATTAGAAACAACATTTAACAAGTAATCAACAGTCTTTTCTTATTTTTTCTATATCTTTTTTTTAACCCTCGAATATCCATTAGCTCAGTTCAACCGTTCAGAAGTAAGTTTTTTGCATGGTAGAGTCGACATGAGCGGCATGAGACAGATTTTAAAATCTATATATATTTTATTTTAAAAGTCTGTATATTCTGTATGTTAACCCTCGGCTGGTTCAACTTGCTGAGTAACCAATGAAATGATTTGTGACTTTTAACAGGAATCAACAGATTATATTTTCTCTAAAAATCTAGCGATTTACATTGTAACATCGAAATGAACAATATCGAGTTAAGTTCGATGAAAATCGATATATTGATGTTTCGATAGGTTTTCATTCAACAATTGTTTCAACAATGCTTGCTGTAACTTTCGCAGCTCAATTGAAAAATATAAAAACAAAAACAATATGTTTTCAAAGCAAGCTTTGCCTTTCACTTTGCGAAGCCCCAAAATCATTTCCCATTGAGACTTACGCAGGACGAGCATATACGAAAAATTGCTTACGAAAAAAACAGCTGTGAAAAGTAAGAATTGGCTCATTCAAATTCAAATGCAGCACAGACTCAATGCTTTAACCGATGCTTTACAGCCGTGATAAGTATGCCGCCCAGACGCAGCGAGCGGCTGCGCAAGCTACGTGAGGTTGTGACTTCGGCGGGGCCCGTGGTGGAGTCCAGGGGTGCGCGTCGCCCCCGGCCACGCCCACGACGCGCACGCGCCAGGGTGCCACTGAGTGCAGCAGCAGCAGCAGCAGGAACAGCCAGGACCAACATTGTGGCTGTGGCTGTGGTCGAGCAGCGCCTGAACGAACGCGAGGATGCGCGCACCTGGCTGCAGTTGGAGGCGCAGTCCACAGCCAGGTCGGTCAGCATTAGCAACGGGAACGGGGAAGGCCAGGTGGACGATGTGCTGACACTGCGCCTGTTGTCGCTCTTCATACGCATCGCACTGCTAGAGTCGCCATCGCTGGCCCAGCTGACCCGCCGTAATCCCCATCAGGGAATTAGAAAGCTGTTTAGAATCATACGGTTTCTGTTTTTTAGACGCTAAACATTTCGTTCAATAAATCGATTGCATCGTTCGCCGGACAGGCGCCCCCACGATGATTTCCTGTCCCAAGTTCTTGGATTGCCTATGCTCCTATGCTCCTCATCTGTCTCGCAGGGACTGTCATTTGCGCCGCGTTGCGCCTCCGCATGATTAATTGCCTGGCACGCGATGGCGATGCCAATCGGCTGCCCAAGTGACAAAAATCAATGCACCGCAAATGTGCGAGACTGTGACTGCAAGTGGCACTCGGCAGCCGGCAGTCAGAGGTTGCAGCGACGTGTGAGTTACTCGGAATAACACGGCTCATAAATCTTCAGGGCCCAGATCTCGAGATCTGACGCCCGCCCCCCCTCTTCTTTTTCTGTATGTCATTTGGCAACCTGTGCCCACGCAGGCGGCTCTGGCGGCTTATCAGCTGCCAACTATCGCCAGCCCAGACAATTCTTCTTCGGAATGTAATGTGTAATGAAACGGAAGTTGCCCGACTATCAATCTCAATTAAATTGATTGCCACCGAATGCAGCAGCAATATACCCTTAAATATGTATGGGATGCCACAAGTCAGAATCTTAACAAGAATGGAGTATATCTGAGTGTGCGACTTAGGATACAGTTCTTATGAAGTAGGTGGGTTAATTTGGTTTAAATTACCAGTTTCAATTGGATGAAGCTTAATCAGAATAAACATATACAATGAGTACTTTTCCTTTGCTTGAAAGTGTAAATAATATTTCGTCTTTTAAACTCAAAATATCATTTAATATTTAGTATGTTCCGATTTAACATATCGCAACCTATGCCCAATAAAATAAATATGTATATATGCACTTACCCAAACAATTCGCATACACACGTACTTATTGTCATCTTGTAATGCGAGGAAGACACTTTTATATCAGCATCCCTAGAATAAAGTAGTGAGAGAGCATTAGAAAAGTGGAAAAAAACCGGGGTATAAAGACAGAAAGATGATAGAGCACAAGAGAGCATAGGCAGAGAAATTTTTATATTGTAAATACAACTCGTTAATAAAACACGTTTAATCAATTCAGAAAATCGGGTCTTATTTGAATTTATGAGAATCGCGTAGTAAGGCTAAGGGGTAGTTACCAGAAAAGAGTTTGGTTTGGACTCTAGATCAACTTCGCATCTAAATCTGGCAACATTATTCTTGTATATATGTATATATAACCACATACATGCATGAACACAGAAATACATACATTCATACATACATACACACATACATACGCCTACACCTCCGCCCATTGGTCCTCCTCCTGCTACTCCGCCATGCTCCTTCGGCTCTTCAGCCTCCAGCGTTGAAGCCGCCTGCGCCTATTTCATAGGCGAAGTCTGCAAGTCTTACTTGCATTTTTGAGAATCGAGGAGGAGGGCAGCTTCAATAAATACGTTTTCTTATTTAAATTTGCCACGCAACAAGACAAATTGGACTGTTATTGGTATAGAAATATACATACATACATACATACATACATACATACATACATACATACATACATACATATAGCGGGCACTACTAGGCCTTCCCCGTTTTATACTTAAGATTTTAGATATAACTTTTTCATCCAGTTCCCGTCCATGGAAAGCTTTAGTCTACCCAAACTTTCTTAAACTCCACTTTCAATTCCAACATTTGATTCTTTATACGATGGACTTTTTCATACCACGTATATATATGTATATTTTTAGACTTAGTTTTAAATTCTGTCGATGCTGTCTCTATTACATTATATTTTTTTAATAATCCTGTCTTCACAAGAAAAGGAAAGAAGGAATTACGCAGACATTACAACATTTTCCGTATTTTTTTCTTACATTTATATCCTCAATTACGGCTAATATCATGCTGAAAATAAGTGTAATACCGCCCTAGTATGTTACAATTTTCATATATTATTTGCAGTTTAAGCGGACATGGCCTTAGCATAAATTTGAGCCACGGCAGCAGCAATTTTTTTTTTTTTTTGGCATAAAGCGAGTTGACAATCCAACAGTTAGTTGGCCAAATTGCGCACATCCGTTGGATTGGCAAAGGAGCCGCAATAATTTGCAGCAATATGGCTAAAATAAACGCGACGCGTCGTTGGTGTTGGCTGTTGGGTCTCTGCGACCTGGCTGAGAAGTGGCAATAAACAAAGCCAAGAGCACGCGTTATTTTGTGCACATTTCCATGCAAATGGTGGCGGCAAATCAGCGCAAATGAAAGAAGCAGCGACAACAACATGCAACCGCATGAGCAATTGCCAATTGCGTGTTGCACAATCATTGGGAGCAGAGTCAGAGTCAGAGTCAGAGGCAAGCCAACTGGCGGCCTACACACCAACCGAGCAGAACCCAAGAACATGACATCAAATGGCAAACAAAGCGCAATTACATGGAGCGACAAGCCGAAATGCGAATGCGAATGCGAAGTGTCGCATCGAAGCACTCGCACTCGCACTCGCACTTGGAAAACAAACTCAAACCTTAAACTGAGCTGCAGCTGAGCTGCACATGGGCGAGCGAGCCGCATTAAAAGCCCACAACAAAGCCGGGCTGACTCACATTGGCAAGAGATGCGTTGGACGTTGGACATGGAATGGGCATTTGGTATCGGCATTGGTATCGGTATTGGTATCGGCATTGCCATCGAAGCTATATGACTGTTGCACGCCAGCTCAAAACTAAACGCTGCTAAACTCAAAAGCGAGACATTTATCACACTCCTCGGGCCAATGGGCTGCTCCTAATGCCTGCTAATTAATGATAATGTCAGTAACGTATGTGGCTGGCCTCGTTGCAGTTGCCAGTTGCCACAGTCGCCACAGTTCCACAGGTCATCAGTTAACGTTTTCATTAACCATATGTCACACGCATGTCCTAGAGGGCTGGCAACCCTCCTACGCGCAACCCTCGCGGCACGAGGAACCCTTGAAAATTAAATTATGCGCTCGGTCGCGTGTCCTCCTCGAGTTCACAGTCGGCAAATGATGAGTCAAAATACATAAAAAAAAAGAAAACTAAATGAAAATGAAAATAAAATGCATAGCTCTCTATGCCTGCCCCGCAGCCATCGCAGCCATCATTCCCTCCACACGCTAAGAGTTCCCATTTGTGCCCATTTCTCGCTTTTTTTCACATAAATTTCAGAAGCTCTTCGCCCAGTTGGGCAGTTGGTTTGGCTTGTGTCGGCCAGTTGTGCAAACTGTTTGCAGTGCGGCGCGTGTTTCGGGCCAAAAAGGTGTTAAAACTGTGCCGCAAAATTGTTTTTGTGTCCAACACAGCCTGGGGTTGTTTTAATGACCGTCTGACTTTTTGGCTCGACTATCTCATGATGAACCCGATATAATTACGCATTTTGTCGACAATGAAGTTTATGTTCTTTTACGAGGCGCGTGCCGGATATGTGGCTGAAAGGTGGGCAAGTATTTTTTACTTTTTTATAAAACCAAGACACGCAATACTTGAACTGGGGGTTAATATTTCTGGTTTCCTCGTTTATACGCTGCGAGGCGCTACATAATTATAGGAGGGCACATATTTGGATGAGCTCTGAATGGGAAGTTAATTTTTGGGGTCAAAAACTGAGAATCAGATTTACAATAATATTACTTTGAAGAATAAGTGGAATTTAAAAATGGTTTCTAAAAGATCTGTGTTAATTACGAAAGCTGATAATGCCCGATTGAAGGCACGTGTTTGCATGATGTCATCGATTCCTTTGGATAACCTTCACATAGTTTGAGAATTGAATTGCGAATTCTCAATCGTATTTCATAAGCCATTTCGTAATCGATTTGTACGCCTTCAACTCTAACATCAAGTTAACCCAATTAACTATTAACCTAATTTACATACAAGCCACCAGCCAAGTCTAATGCCAAAAAATTTGCACATCACGCCGCATAGTTCACATAATTAGCCCAAAATAAAAACTGAAACTCACGCATTTGGTTTGGCAAAAAAAAAAAACAAGAAAACATAAAGGCATTGGGAATTGGCAGCTTCAGTTACATAATCGTTGGATGTGGCTGATTGATGGATTGGCGAGAGATCAAAGTGAATCAGAGTCAGAGCTGAAGGAACCACTTGCTTGATTCAAAGACTAATTCAATTGCTTTATAATTGAACTAAGGAGGCGCGACGAGACGCTGAGCCACATTTTGGACTTGGAGCTGATTTAATGAGTTAGCTTCGAGACGCGGACACCGAACCACACCACAACACACCACACACATGCTGGCTCAGCAGGTTTACTCGCAGGTTGGCCAAGTTAATAATTTAATGGTCAACGTTGTAATTTTTCCACAAAATTGATCAATAATCGCTGGCGCAAGGCCCGAGCCGCGTCCAATTCAATTCAATGAGATTCAATTCAATTGCAATGCAATTGTAATTGAAAAATCGAATTTAATGCCGAATTAATAGAAAAATTTGTTGTGGCGTGCGGCATGCGGCGTGCAGCGTCGCGGCATGCCGCTGAAGCTGTTGAAATTTTGTGGATGCGATTCATTTGCCGCATGATGGATAGCCCTAGTCATTAGCTTAGTTGTGGGCGTGCCAGCGCCCACGCTAATTAGGCCCCAACCCCTTGGCCCACAGCTGCCAGACAAATGCGAATTTATACGAGGTCTTAAGCATTAAAAACTATCTCGAAAAGCTTAAAATGTTTTCGCTGCCGCGTGTCCTTTGTTTAATTAGTGCGCTAAAAAATTATCAAAAAATATGAAAAAAAAATATTTATATATACTTATAAATAAATGAGTAAAAAAGATGATCACATAAATATTTAAGCGGATTATGCGGCGATTTATCAAAAGCAATTAAAGAGCACCGAAAATGAGTTATTTTTTATACGATTATTATTTCAGATGTTGTTGTTGATGTTCGTTCGTGGAATGCGCTTTGATGACAAATAGTAGCAAAAATGTTGCGCCATCAATTTGTTGCTTGTGCTTAGCAGGAGGAGGAGGAGGGGGAGGTCGGCGAGACAAAATGTTTATAATGCTGCTAAAAGCATGTCAGTACGAGTATCTCGCAGATACAAATCAGAAAGCGGCCCGCAAGCAAAGTGGGCCACGATGCGGCAACCGCAGCCAATTCAGGCTGGCAGCTGGGACAGCCTGGTAGCCTGCTAGCCTGGTAGCCAGGTGACCAGGCGGCGGCGGCGTCGTCGGCGTCGTCGGCTATCTGTGCAGATCAAAGCCGCTTGAGAAATCTGTGAGATATACGAGTATATTTAGCAGCTCCCGTGGCAAGTGGAGGCCAAGTCTTTAGCTTAAATACTAATTACCCTATGGGGAGCTGTGCCTGCACTGCCGGCTTATCGCCGCAGGAGCCACCACCACCACCGCCAAGTCGTGAGTCGCAGGTCCCAGTTTCATTTGCAGTTGCAGTTGCAGTTTCAGTCTGCACTACACTACAGTCAACACCGTCTGCGCGGACCACAGTTGCACAGAGCTCCACGAGTCTGCAGTCTGCAGTTGGCAGTGTGCGTCGTGCGACGCGTCGTCAATATTTGTCAAACTGTCATTCGGTTTGACATTTACGTTTGATCAACACCAGGCCAGCAACTGGCCCAGTGGCTGTTGTCCATGTCCGCTGGATGCTAGCTGCTGGCCACACGTTGCAGTTCCAGGAGCCGCTTACCGTCCGCTTTGCCGCGTTGACACAGCCAGATAAAAGCCAAAGCGAAAACTAGCCCAGCTCCGATTTTTCAATGTGTGGCAATTTAAAGGCGACACATTAACGAGCTCGAGACAACGTGAGTGTCGCTTTTGTTATACACTGCTCCACATAAGTGGAGTCTGCAGTCTGTGAGTCCGCAACTGATCCCAGCCGCAGATAAACAGCTGCTTCTACACTTAAAAGCTGGAGTGCAAAACCAAATACAGCTAACGC